CAATATTGTCTTACTATTTCAAACAAGCCTATGAATAAACTAGAGACCCAGTGCACGAAATTTGTGCACGGGTGGGGGAGGAGAGTGGTGCCCCTCAGCCCTGCCTGCACCCTCTCACAATCTGGGACTGCCTACTTGCCTGATTGCCCCTAATCACTCTGCCTGCTGCCTGATCACCCCTTAACCACTCACCTGCCTGCCTGATCACCTCTAACTGCTTGCCAGTCTGCCTGATCACCCCTAACCGTCTCTGCCTTGGCCCTTGCTGCAGCGGTTTCATCTAGAAGGTTGTTTGACTGTCTGATCTAATTAGAATATTGTGCTTTTATTATTATAGATACTATTATTATCCTAATTATACAGCTAACAAGAGACAAACTGTTAAGAAACTTGTCCAAGGTTAGGATGTAATCTGGGCAGTTTGGCACCAAAGCTTATGCTCCTAACCATTATCTCACTTATTTAATTTTTGTCTCTTGTATTAGAATTAATACTCCATGCAGACAGGAACCATATTGCTGGTGTTTTCTTCTGTGCCTACACAACAGGTACATGGTAACTATGTGTTGAATAAAATCAATGAATAAACCAAGTGACAGAAACAGTGGGCCAAATTATGTATACATATAAGAAATAATTTGGGTGAAATATTGGCAAGTTTTTTGCAGACTTTGGTGATGGCTATGGACTAAATGTCCATAAATTTATATGTTGCTCCTCCTCAGATTCACACCTTGAAGTCCTAAGACCCCAGTGCAGCCTCTAAGGAACTAAATAAGTTAAAGGAGATCATAGGCGGGGAGCCCTAACCAAACAGTTAGGTATCCTTATAAAAAGAGGAGAATCCAGAGTGTGTTTTCAGTTCTCTTTCTCTTTCTCTTTCCTTCTCTCTGTCTTTCTCCCCACCTCTCTGGTCTCAGCATGCACTCAGGAAAGGTCATGTGAGGACTAGTGAGAAGGTGGCCCTCTGTAAACAGGAAGAGGCTTTTATCAGAAAACAAATCAGCTTGAACCTTGATCTTGGACTTCTAGCCTACAGAACAGTGAAAAAACAAATTTCTGTTGTTTGAGCCACCCCGAACATGATGATTTGTTATGGAAGCTGGAGCAGACAAGACAGTGATCAGTAGGGTGAAGGTGGGTGGTGAAGGAGAGGTTTTTAAGCCTAGAAGACTAGAGGGACAGTGGTGCCAGTATAACTGGGGTAAAGAACCCAGCAAGAGGAAGAGGAAAGATTGGCTATGGTTCATGGAACAAACAACACTAGTTTTTCTGAACTCAAGGTCTACCTCATACACAGAAATACAGAACTTAGCTATTTAAAACTACTTATTCAATAAATGTGTATTCATCCCCTCGCCATGGTGACTGCTGTGCTTATCCTGAGAAATCAAAGTAAATAAGAGTCATTCTCTGCCTTCAAGGAACTCACAGTCCACTGGGGAGAAACATTGCTCCCTTTTGTAAAGCTAGCATGCTGGCTGGAAAGACCATTATTCCTTTCCCCATTTTCTAAAGACCTGGGGAGTTATAGAGGTAAAATCCCACATGAATAGGGAGAACTGGATTTGAATACGGGCCTTGGAGTATAAAAGCTGAGTGATGATCATAGGCAGTGTTAGGGTTCTCAGTTATAACCGCGGAGTTGTTTTAAGATCAGAGAAGAAAAGGTAGGTAGACATGTTTTGCCAAAGGCAATATGCATGTTAATAAGAATAATGATTATAAAAGCGCCATTTCTCACCTGCAGAAACTAGAGGTGAATCAGCCATAGGCAACAAGTCAGAGGGAAAAAGGCCAGTCTTGAACCCTGTGGCGGCAGGAGTTCGGGGATGGTAGGGGGAGTCAGACGGAGGTCGTGGGACATAGAACAGGCTTTGGGATCCTATAGACCTAGCTCAAATCACAGTCCAGTCAGTTATTAGCTATGGGAAATTGAACAGGTCATATAATTAATCCGAGCTTGAGTTTCTTCATCTGTAAAATGGAGTTAATAATACCTACCCTGTTCTGAGTATGTAAAGGGCTTGGCATGGTGCCTGGCACAGTTGTCACTCAATTAATGGTAGCTCTTTTTCCTATTAAAATATTACCATTTTCCTCTCCTATCTCCTAAGGGGTTTGTGTATGTAGTGAAGTAACTTGAGATGTCAAGAAGTGAGGGAAATGGAAGGGCTTTTATGACTGACTTTAAAAAGTTATTTTTAAAAGTTAAAAAAAAAAAGAGTAGTCCAACTCAGCTTTCCTCTCCTAACCTATGGTGCAAACATAACTCTTGTAGAAATTAGCATGTGTTATATAGCTTGGAGCCACAGAACACCCAGCTTGATAATTATTCCTTGTATTTAGTCTATCCTAAATAAATCTATCCATCACCCTTAATAAGGGCTCTCCAAAGGCAATGCTTCTCAAACTTTAATGTACACAAGAGCCAGTTGAGGGCTTGTTAAAATGCAGGCTTTTATTCTGTGGATTTAGAATGGGGCATGAAATTCTGACTTTCCAAAGCTCCCCGGCAAGGCCCAGGCTGCTGGTTCAGGGACACACTTTGAGGAAAGAGCAAGGCTCTGAAGGGACGTGGATGTATCTTCCTAGGCGTGGTGTTCACTGCAATGGCTGCTCCTCTTTTGCAATCTACCTAAATTGCAAACTAACTGCTAGAACACCAACAAGCTCTCTTCAGACCTGATGTAGAGATTCTGCAACAGGACTCATTTCAGATCAATAGCGACTTTTTTGAGTAGCCTACTCTGTGCAAGGCACTGTGTAAGGTGCCAGGGATACACAGGTTAGTAAGACACAGTTCCTGCTTCTGAGGACTGTCCTCATTCTAACACTGCATGCCCGAGTAGACTAACTTACTGAGGGCGGTCTTACTGTCTCCCCTATTGCTTACTACTACGTAGATACTCAATACATACTAAATGAATGAGTCAATGAGTTCACAGGAGTTTCATTAAAAATGTCTTCTCAAAGCACATGACAATGGGACACTCTTAAGCTGCCCTCTATCCTAAGTATCACATGTAAGAAGTGGCTAAGTTACCGTAAACTGAGGCCGATAGGCTGAGTACTAATACAATCTGCCTGGTATCCTATAAAAAGAGATTAGAACACACAGAGGCAGAGACTCCAGAGATAAAAACAGAGCAAGAAGGTGGCCATCTGCAAGTCAAGCAGAGAGGTCTCAGAGGAAACCAAACCTTGATCTTAGATTAGCAGCATCCAGAACTGTGAGAAAATACATTTCTGTTGTTTAAGCTCTGCAATGTGCGGTATTTTGTTATGGCATCCTTAACAAACTTATACACATTTTCACAGCTTTTATGTCCAGATTCAGACTCCCTTTCGTAGGGCACACAAAATGGAAGAATAATTCTAAGAGCGGATGGATGAACCCAAGTGCAGTGGGAATGAGTTATGGAAAAACTGGAGGGAGACAGACAGAAGAAGGTGAGACAGTAACCTACCTTGGGCTAAAACAGCTGCTATACACACACACACACACACACACACACACACACTCACTCACTCCCTCCCTCCCTACTCATGATACCAACACAAAGTTTAGGGCTATTCTCTCACCAAATTATATACTGAAAACAACTTTTTTACTTCTTTCCCGCTTGATACCAGCAGGAAGACCCCAGGTACCTCTCTGTATGCGAAGAGCTAGAGAGCACCTTTGATGATAAGGCAATGAAACTGAGTTTTTGACAAACAAATTAAAACACACACAGTCAAATGAGATTCCTGCTAGTCACAGGGAAGCTACATTTGAAGCCTGATTCTAAAGCCAGGGAATTATTATTTTTTATTTAGCTTAGTTTGTAATAAACATGCCAACTCATATGTATAGATGAGTGCCTCCTTCAAAATAGTCATTCTAGAATCGAGAGGGTCCTACCTTTCTCTATGTCACAGTTCTCAAATCATTTCTAGAATTGCTTTCAGGGTCTGTGAGATAATCTTCTGAATGTTCTCAGTGGTGACTCTTGAAGGTGGATTTGATTTTGAAAAACAAGCAAGAATCCTTCTGGGTCAACTCTAGCTAACTAGGGGGACCAGCAAAACTATGGAATGCCAAGACGACGGACACCTAAGTACACAGGCTGATGTTTCTTGGGGGAACTGTACTCATCCAAGACCAACTCCAGACATGCAGTGAACATGTTATAAGCATGACATCAAGGAGTGGGGTGACTGCTCTGAAGTAAACACACAAGTTTTCTTTTCATGTCGTTAGGCAAGTTTTCTAGTGGTTCCCTTTACCGGATATTTCCTCAGGTCCGGATCTGTCCTACCTCATGGGACCACAGTTCCAAGAAGTACAAGGACCTCATTGCCTTCCTCAATTTTTAATCTCCCACGTGGGTACTTGATATGCGGAGTGAATAGCTGATGGAAAATTCAATAGCGGGGAAGAATGTCTAAGGTGTTTGGGGTTTACTCTATGTGATTCAAAGGATATAACGAGGATCCAGAGAGAAGCTTAGGAGAAGTATAAGTTTCTACTCCAATGTAAGACATTGTCAGCAGTGGAGCTGTCCAGCATTGGATTGAGTTTGAGATACTCAACTGAATGGGAACTGAGCTTCCAGCCCTGGGAGTCAAAACAAAGGCTACTTGCTATGCGAACTTGTAAAATGGGTGGGAGGTTATAAGCAATGATCTCCAAAGACTATTTTCCAAAGTTCATCCTGCACAATAGCTGACAAGCAATAGGCCCTGAAAAACAACACTGGAATGAAATGAATGAGAACTATGGGGCATCTTGGGAGCCAAACCAAGGAGAAGATGCTTGGAGCCCAGTCATCGGCAGGGAAGGTAGGGAGAAGGGACATGGAAAGGGCCAGTGCTCCATGAGGTGGGGTCTAGCTTGAGTTTTTGGTACCACGGAAGACCTGCTCTGGGTGCCGGAAGCCTCCCATGTTTAGGAAAGGGTAGTGCTTTTTTTGGAGGTGGTTGGAGTTGAGAAAGGAGATAAGACCACTGCTCACCCTTCTTAAACTCCTCCAGCACCGTGTCCAGCCGAGTATCGTTGAAGACGCAGTGCAGGGGCCGATTGTAGAAGCGGGTGACGGTGAGGAGTGGGGTGCAGTCGTCGGGGTCCACGAAGGCCAAGTCCTTGACGAACAGGATGTCCACGATGTTGTGCCGCTGGTCGCCCTCGTACACGGGGATGCGGGTGTAGCCGCTGCGCAGGATCTCGGACACGGTGGAGAAGTCCAGCACGGCGTCGGAGCGCAGCATGAAGCAGTCCCCCAGCGGGGTCAGCACCTCCTCCACCACCTTGGTGCGCAGCTCCAGGGCGCCCTGGATGATGTTGAGCTCCTCCTTCACCAGGTCGTTGTAGGGGTCCGCGGCCCGCAGCGTCTCCAGCAGCTTCTCCCGCGTGTAGAACGTGCTGATCTCCTGGCGCAGCGCCCAGTCCAGCAGACGGCCCAGCGGGTAGCACACGGGGAACGCGGCCGCCATCAGGAGCCGGGTCAGGCACACGCTGTGCGAGGCGATGGCCAGCCCGTGCCGCGAGCACACGGAGTAGGGGCAGATCTCCGCGCCCAGGAACACGGCGCCGGTGCACACGAGCGCCGGCAGCCACGGGAAGTGAATCCCGGCCTCGCCGCCGTAGTCGTCATCGTCTCCCCCGGGGCCCCCGACGCCCGGCGGCAGCGAGGTGTACAGCCAGCCGGCCAGCACCGCGTTGGCGCCGGCCTGGCCCAGGAGCAGCGTGCAGAGCAGATGCGTGCCCCGGCCCCGCACCGCCTGCACGCGGCGCGCCTGCTCCTGCTCGGTGGCCGAGCCGCTGTTCCGCAGCACCCGCAGCTCGATGGGGTCCAGCGAGAGCAGGCTCAGGCGCAGGCCGCTGAACAGGGCGGACAGCGCGAGCAGCAGGAGCGCCCCGAGCGCGCGCAGCCACGCGGGGGGCAGCAGGCCCTCGCCGGGGCCGTAGAGCCGCGGGCGGACGCGCAGCAGGAAGCCGCCGGCGGCGCCGTGGTGGTGCCAGGCGCGCCCGTCCCAGGCGCACAGCGAGAAGAGTTTCCCGCCGCCGCCCGCGCCGCCCCGCGCCGCCTCCCCCTTGCGCAGCTCCCGCACCCGCACCTGCACCAGGGCCGAGCCGGCCGCGCCTCCGGGGCGCAGGGGCCCCAGCACCTCCACGTCCGACGCCCAGTCGCTCTGCTCGCGGCAGCGCTGCGGCCCCGGCGGGCGCGTGGGGACGGCGCTGGGCGCCACGCCGCTCCCGCCCGGCGGCTCCTCGATGAACACGAGCCGCGGGGCCAGGTCGCCCGTGCCGTTCGCCCCCGAGGAGAGGGTGGGCGCGGGCGCCAGCGCCGCCGCGGGGGCCGCGGGCCCGGGCTGGAAATAGACCCGCAGGAGGAAGCTGGTGCCTTCTGCCGCGCGGAGGGTGCCCCCCTCCAGGGACACGCGGCCTCCGGCGGTGTCCTCGGGCCTCAGGCCCAGCAGCCAGGCGGCGGCGGCGGGGGGCCGAGGGGACAGGGAGAAGAAGAGCAGGAGCACAGCGCCCCGGCTGCAGCAGTCCCGGAGTCTGACACCCACGGCGGCTGCCGCTGCCGCCATCCTGCACCCGGTGCGGCTGCACGTGATACTGCAGAGAGAAGAGCGAGAGCCGGAGGGAGGAGGAGCCAGCCAGCCTGGAACCGGGCCCGGGCAGGTCACCACGTGCACGCTCCCTGCGCGCGTGGGCTGGAGGCGGTGCGGGTTTGGACCCTGTCAGGGCAGGATGTCCCAGCAGGAGGCTGGAAGTGGCCACGCATCCCTGCACGGTGCAAACCCTGATGCACTCTGGTGTATCTGAACTGCAGCCTGCAAAGCTTGGTTGGAGCAGGGCCTCCTGCTGAAGCTGTAGGCAGCACCTTAGCGAATGCTTACCCAGCAGTTATCAGTTATTCCCTGCTGGCCCCTCTGTTTCCCCATTGGCCAGGGAAACTTCCCATCATTTTGCTTGTCCTGCTGCTAGCATTCCCCCTTCTAGTAAAAATATATTCTGGAGGCAAGTCTTGAATCTGTAAAACTTTATGTTTGGTCTCAACTCCAGCTGATCGTTAATGTTTAAAATTTTCTAAATTACTTACATTCAGTTCTTTCTTAAGACTGGGATGCCTGTCAGTAAGAAATTGCTGAAATAAGTAATGATGCTACTGTGTGATGGACTACTATGCAGTAGGAAAAAAGAATAACATGGATCCATGTGATTGTGATATGGAAAAGTCTCTAAAGTAAGAGTTAGTTGAAAAATGGCAAGGTGAAGAGCGATGTGTATAATATGCTACTGTTTGTGTTAAAAGTATTTGGGTATAAACTTATATGTACACATAAACATATAAGATTTAATATACAGAGGGTACAAAAGAAAATTGTAATAATATTCACCTCTAGGGAGTGGGGAACAGGAGTAGAATTTGCAGCACACACAGCAAGTTGCAAGATAAAGCAGAGATTCTAAGTACTCTTTACCTAGTTTCCTCCAGTGGTTATATCTTAACTATAGCATAACTAGAGGCAGAGTGCATGAATTCATGCATGGGTGGGGGCAGCAGCCTGTCCCGATGGGGGCCCATAGGGCGGGCTGGTGGAGAGGGGAGGGAAGGGGGAAGGGCCATGGGAGGTTGGTCCCACACTCAACCGGGGTATTGGGGGTCTAATGGGTGCAGGGCCGGTGGGGGTGGAGGGAGTGGGGGGTGGGGGTGTATTCGGCCCAGTTGGCTGCCACAGTTATAGCCACTAGTTGGTCTGGTCGTTTTGATAGTTGCCTCATTCGGTTGCTGGGCTTTTATACATATAGATACCAAAAGCAGGAAATTGATATAATGTGTGTATAATTCTATGTCATTTTATCACACACGTAGATTTATATAACTATCGCTGCAATCAAAACACAGAACCATTATTCTATCACCACAAAGATCTGATAGGGAGACTTTTTGCTGAATTCCTGTGTATTGTTTGAATGTACCATAGGCTTGGGACTTTATTTTTATGCATTTATTTTTAAGTTTTATGTAGTAAAATTCACTTTTTGGCTTATGTTCTATAATTTTGACAAGCATATATTCATATAACCATCATAATCAAGAATAATGCCATAACCCCCCAATATTTCCTCTCACAGTCTCTTTGCAGTCAACTCTCCCTCATCCCATCTTCTGGCTACTACTGAGTTGTTCTCCACTATAGTTTTCCTTTTATGGAATGTCATATATTGGAATAATACAAAAAGTTCCCTCTGCAGCTTTTTGGATCTGGTTTCCCTAGTTAGCACAATGCATTTGAGAGTCATCTATGTTGTTGTGTTAATTAAGAGCTCATTCCTTTTTGTGGCTGGATAGTATCCCATTATATGGGTGTATCACAGGTTGTTTATCTATAATACTTATCCCTTAAGGAACATTTATTTCCAGTTTTATGTATAAAGCACCACAAAGATCTATAAATGTTCATGTGCAGGTTTTTGTGTGAATATACATTTTCATTTCTCTTATGTGAAATTACCATAGATGTGTATTACTTTTTATTTTATTTAAAATATTTTTTATTGATTTCAGAGAGGGAGAGGGAGAGAGAGAGATAGGAACATCAATGATGGGAGAGAAACATTGATCGGCTGCCTCCTGCACTGGGGATCAAGCTTGCAACCCAGGGAATCATACCATGACCTCCCAGTTCCTAGGTTGACGCTTAACCACTGAGCCATGCCAGCTGGGCTGGTACCTCTTAATAATTTTTTAAAAATCATTGCTTTGTTTGAAATGTTATTTTCCATAGAATGTGTGAGACCCTGAAATATTGAGTAAGAAAGCTTTACAGAGGATAAAGCTCAATACAAATAATCCCAGTTAAAAGTTATCTTCTTAGAGATCAACCAAAGGACTTGTATGCATGCATATAAGCCTAACCAGTGGTCACGGACAACAGGGGGATGGGGGTATACGTGGGGAGGGGTTTGGGGTGAGATTGGGGGGGGGGTGAGGACAATTATGCTATACCATAATCAATTAAAAAAAGTTATCTCCTTTTCATAATAAACTCTAATTTATTATGGGAATAGCCCCTTTCTGCTTTGGGACTAGACAGGCCTTAGTAGGCTGTTCACATTGCTACACAGGTTTTCTTGTCACTCTGCAGGGAATGTGAAACAAACCTGCCATTGCTTTAAAGTACACTAGATCCTGTCCATGCACTACAAGCTGTGTTTGGCATGGGTTGCTTAAGAGGTAGCTGGATGATTTAATCTGAAGGGGGAATATTGGGGCATTTATTGGATGTATAGAGGAACAGGAGAAGTGGGGTCAGGCATGTGATTGTGTCCCTTAAGTATAAAAACTCTCACTTTTCTCTTGACAGTTTGATTTCTCTCCTCTCTCAACCTAAAGCTTCTCAGTACAAAGCTATGTTATCCTAAGGGTTTTCCCACCTCTTTTAGGCCAGAGGACTTTATCATCATTATAATACCACCTACGAGTTAGAGTTACAAAGGAATTTTGTATTTTTTATTTCATTCACACAATAGCCCCGTGAAGTAGAAATAATTATCCCCATTTTACATTAGATTAAATGAGCAGTAAGACATCTTTGGACTCTAGTTTGATCCTATCTCACCCTGCAGTCCTGACTAATGTCAAAAATAAAACCTTTCAAAAATATTAGATCAGGAATTTAAAACCTAAATTTCTGATGATAAAGAATTACATGCTCATTGAAGATAGATTTTTAATGTAAAAAAAGTAAGTATAAAGAAACTATAACATGACCAACCTGAAATATACACTGTTAATATTATAGCACACTTTAAAATTTTTCTAGATAGACAGATAACTGAGAAATACACATACATACCTATATATTTTATATTTAAATACATATTATACATACAATTCTAGTCTGCTTTTGTCACTTAATATATAAAGAGAATTTTCCATAAGGTAATAAAACTTATTTCATAAAGTTAGTTTTTAATGAGTGGTACTATTACACATATATGTATGATACTGAGAGAGAGAGAACTGTAAGAATGATTCTATTTCCAATTGCACCAGTTCGATTATTAGCAAGTGTTAAGCTTTGGAAAGTCAGCCCATTTCCTCATCTATGAAATGAAAAACCATTTCAGGATCCCTCCCCTTTCATGAGTCAGTGTCTGAGGGCTAATGTACACTGGGTGAGGATAATCCAGAGAGACTGAGTACTTTTCCTCTACGGAACAGAAGGGTCTGGAAAAGTACTGGGTTTCCAGTGTTCTACTGTAACTGGAAGGATTCCTGAAACAGGTTCAGACAGTGTGAGTCTAATAAGGAAGAGCTGTCAAACAGCTCCTCAGAATCTGAATGTTGACTGTCTTCCTGTCTTACAAAATGGGCAACTCCTCACTTTTCAGACAGATGGAAGTATGATACTTGCCGCTATCTCATGATTATAATATTTTAGAATGCATATGTTAAAATGTTTTTTTAAATTAGTTGTTTACTGATTCAACAAGTATTTGTTAGGCACAAAGTACTAGGCCCTGTGCTAAATATTGGGTAAAGACAGATGCTATCCTTGCCTTCCCGGAGCCTAGATTCTACTGAGGATGACAGAGATGAACTAGAAGTTGCTTACCTACCTAATTAATTTATTACTCCTATGAAAAAGCTGTTCAAAGTGTCATTCATTTAGAGAGGAAGGTCTGGAAAGACTAAAACCCAAAATTAAATTTAATAAAAATGGAAGAATTTATACATTAGGAAGAAGATAAAAAAATTTAATATTTTGTTCCATTCCTTTTCTACTACTTTTAAAATTATGACAATGTATTAATAATATTCCTACTATAACCCTTTAGCATTTATTGCATGCTTACTTTGTGCCAGATACTAGTACATTACCTCTTTTAATCCTCACAATAGATGAGAAAACTGTGACTGTAACTGGATAAGCCTGTGAAAGTCACATCACTAATGGGTAGTGGGGCCTAACCATACAGACAGTCTGTGTCCAGAGTCTACAGTTTAAAAAGTTAGAAAAATAAAAATACCACATAACCCTTAGATAAGGTTTACTATATCAGACATAAATTAACTCACTTAATTCTCATAAGCACCTTTGGAAATAGGTATTGTGAACATTTCCATTTTAATTGAGGAAGCTAAGCTACGGAGAAATTAAGTACGCTGTTGGATTATACAATCAGTGGCAGAAACACTGCCACTACACTGCACTACTTTACAGCTATCTGTCAAACCTTTGTCCCTTTATATATATGGCCCTATATAGTTGCACTTCTAACATTTCTACAATTGTAGTATTGCTTCCTTTCATTCCTCATTATAGTGTAATTATTTTCCCTTATTAAAACTATAAACATTTTTTTCCTTTCCTCTCTTTATACTAAATTGGGTGGAATAGGGTTAAAATTTTGGGCTAGCATCTAAAGTACATCTGCTCTTTTTATGGGACATATACTCAAGTATCTTCATATCTGAAAACACTGATATTGTTATTGTTTGTTGGTTTTACCACAGGCACAGAGGATTGAGTTAACCATCTTCCTCAGCTCATGGGCTATGAAAAGCCTCCTTCCT